GGGGGGGGCTCTGTCCTAAAAAGATACTCGCACGAGAGCAGCTTCGTCCTGCAAAACGGCACCCCATTGTTTGGAGATGAAAACGTAAAGGGGCCGCGCATGTCAAGTGCGAACCGCGGGAGTGTTAGGCAGGCAGTATGGACCAAGGGGTTATGGTGCTATTTTAGTGCCAGGAACTAAGGTGGCTGAAAATCCTCGCAGGATTGAGTTGTTTTGCTGCTTTTAGTCCATGCAGGCCTGCGGGCGCACTTGCTAGTCAGACTTCAACCACAGCACCCCGAGGCGAGTAGGCAACCCGCCCACACGCGCGCATGCGGCACAGGGCAACTACAAAATACCAAAAGGGTTTTCAAAACACCTGACCCTAAAAGTAGCTCCAGGCTGATGGTAATGCTATGTTAACTCTAACTTTCGTGAAGCAGGGCTCAGTATGTTAAATGAACGCGTTTGCCTCAGGCTTCCCCGGGCTACACAGGGATAACGGGTGAAAGTGGAACACTTTGGCTCCAATTACGCATCTTTTCCACGCGGCTTCATAATACGAATATGCACGCTTATCTTTCCGGGGGCTCAGCGAGTATGGACGGCCAACCGTCAGGCCGAATACTGCCGGAACTATCACACCAGCACACTGAGAATGTTACTTCGAGGGCCCCCTTCCCGCTCCGCCTGAGTGACATAAATAGACAGAAAATGCGCAGCACACCTCGGCCGTGGCCCGTATCAGCTGATCTGGCGGCCGCCGTCGCCGCTCGGTGCATCGCACTTCGAACCCCCGCTCCAGTTGTACCAACTGTGGTCCTTCCCTGCCGCCGCCCTGCCTGCCCGTGGCGCCGCAGGCGTGCCAACGCAACCGCCTGGGACTGCGGGGCGGCCCCGTACGGGCGGCGGCGACTCCTTAACCGCGGCAAAAGGGAGCGAGGGAGAAAGCAGAAAAACTAAACCAACAGGTGCAAAGGAGGGCGAAGAGAGTCGCGGCGGAGCGTGGCGCAGTCGGAGAAGTCCAAGCAAGTCCACGCGAGCCGCAGCCTGCCAGAACGGTGCAGGCCTGGCCTGGCTGGCGTTGCACCTTGCGGACACCTGTTTGCACGGCTCACCTGGGCTGTAGCTGCCCCCGTAGCCGTTGCTGTAGCCGTTGCCGTAGGAGTAGCCGTTGTTAAACTCCATCTGCGAGGCCTGACCGCCGCCGCCGTTCCCGCCACAGCCGCCGGCGCAGTTGCCGGCGCAGCTGCTGCCCCCCAGCGAGCACGATTGGTACGGCGAGTTGTACTCCGGGTAGTGCGAGTAGCTAAACGCCTGCAGGTCTTGCAGCGGGTTGTAGCCAGGGTAGCCCCCCGGGGGGTAGTTGTTGGCGCTGCCGTGGCCGCCGCCGTGGCCGCCGTGGCCGCCCCCGGGCCCGCCGCCGGGGTACCCCTGGCACGAGTCCCCTTGGTTGCAACAGTCCATGGCGAGCAGGTGCGCCGCCCCCGCCATGCCGCCCCCAGCGCGCGCGCGCCGCGGCTCCGGGGCGGCCCTTTACACGTCCGTGCCCCACATGGCCTGGCCCACGGCCTGGTGTCACCGTGCCGCACCGTAACGGAGCCGACCCGAGCCGACCCGAGGCGAGCCGAGCCCAGCCGAGCGGGCTCCCGCAGCCAGCACGACCGACCCGAGGCACCGCGCCGCACCGAATGCCATGCCGTACCTCCCGCACCGCCCTCTGGCCCGGCTAGCGCGGACCGGCCCGCGGCCCCCGCGCCGCCCCCGCGCCGCCGCCACCCCCGCGCTCCGCGCCGCTCCGCGCCGGCCGGGAGGGAGGGGGAAGAACACAACCGGCACGGCTCGGCTCGGCGCGTCCTTACGCCCACCCAGAGCACGAGAGAGAGGGGGGATGGGGAGGGAGAGAGGGAGAGGGGTGCTTCCTGGTAGGGCGGGGTGGGGGTGGGTCTGGTAGCGAGGGACGCGTTGGGCTGGAATGAGGGGGAAGGCGTCCGGATAGAACTGGACGCTGGTCATGATCCCCCCCAGCCCATGTAGGGTAAGGGGCCCAGTAGTCGACAGTACACCAGTAGTCGACACTTTCAACTTTGCGATCGAATTCCCGCGAAGTAGTTAACGTTAGAGTCTCGGGCGTTTTGCCAGGCTAAGGCGCACTCTATTGAGATTACAATGAACCCATTGCCGATTCTGTGCCACCTCCGGGAGCCGGTAGGGAGCGCTTCGCACAGAACACTGCTCGTCGCGTCACATCGAGCCATAATTTCTTAGCTGCGGAGTAGTGGGCATGTGTTTGCTCGGAAGGTTCTGTGAGGCTGCCATTCACCCGAGTGGTTCCGGAGGACGGTTGTGTTGTTGTCAAAGATATGTATTATCCTTCCCCATTTAGGTTTTCGAAAATTTCGGTCAGGGGCGTAAATAATGGTGGTGTCGACTACTGGGCCAGAAAAAGACATCTGTTCCAGTAGTCGACACTTACTTTATTTTGAGTGTGTGCTACCTTCATACGGGCTTATTCCGACAACAAGGGCCCTTTGTCAACGTGAAATGTTGTTGGGATCATGTGTCCTTAATTTTCTAGTTCGTAATACATCATGATGACATCAGTAAAGCACCCGGTGTCAATACTGTGCCGAATGATAGAGTTTGCTTTCAGTGCCCCATTTGTGTAAAGCATTTCTCTGCGAACGTGCCCTGGTTGCCTGAGAATAGTGTCA